AGAGTGATCTCCCGGTCATGACACCTGATGTCTGCATGATAGAAGGATAGCCAATCCATTCCGAGAATAAGGTCGAAATCCCTCATCTCGAGAACAAACGCGTCGGTAGTCAATACTCGGCCACCGATGGAAAGGCTAAGATCTGAGGCTTTAGCTGAGGTCACTATCTTTCGTCCCGAGGCTAAACTTACCTCGAGAGGATCGACAGCGGTAACGGCATGAACTCCGATGGCATCAAGACATCGTCGTGATATGAAAGTATGTGTCGCTCCAGTATCGAGTAAAGCAAACACAGGAATATCATTGAGAACAACCATCCCTGACATAGTACCTGGTTGCTGATCTGCCTCGGCCTGATCAACCGCGTAAACCCTGGCCTGCTGTCTGCCCCTCTGCTGCTGCTGCTGCTGAGGCGGCCTCTGTGCCTGCTGACGTGGCTGCTGCTGCTGCGGCTGTGGCTGTTGATGCTGCTGAGGCTGCTGTGCCTTCTTCGGACAACGGTTCGCAAAGTGTCCGGGCTCATGACAGTAATAGCATATATTCTGATCGAAGCGACACTCGCCTCGGTGAAAACGTCCACATGTGGGGCACTGTGGAACTTATGCTGCCTCTGGCGAGTCTTCCTGTCGGTCTGTGCATCCTTTCTCTTCCTCTTATTCTCCTTCGTCGGCTGAGGGGTTGGTAGAGCTGGTGGAGCTGCGAATGGCTGAACTGGAGCAGATGGCTGGGCACGATCACGAACTGCCTCCCTCCTAATGCTAGCGTCCACCTCCTGGGCGATAGAGACTGCACGAGCGTAGGTCTGAGTCCCGTGTCTCACGATGTTGTGACGGACTGCTGGGTAAAGCCCGTCAATGAACCGCTGTGCTCTCTGAGCCTCCGTGCAAACCAGGTCCGGTACGAAAGCTGCAAGTCTAGTGAACTCTCGTTCGTACTCATCAACCGTACGATTGCCCTGCTGAAGTGCTAAGAACTGACGCTCCATCTCTACCGATAGTAGGAAGGGTAGTACTTTTCACGGACTAGCTCCTTGAGCATGTCCCATGTACAACCCGCTTTTTCACCGGGACGCATGCTCCAGTAGGCATTCCACCAGAGCCTAGCATCACCAGTGAGCTGAAGCTGAGCGCAAACTACACGATATCTATCGGGGCAGTCCATAACCTCAAAGATAAACTCCAACCCCTGAATCCATTCATCTATGATGCGGGGATCTCCCTGCCCTGAGAACTTCTCAGCGTGGTAATCGCGGAACTGAGCGACTACCATAGCTTGAGTAGGAGCCTGATGATCGGGTTCTCTACGTGGCGGCATCTGAACATTGAGGAAAATTTAACATTACTGAATACATGATAACATTCTGACTGATTACTAAGGCACACAAATCTCTTGACGAGTCGCCAAAAATGGCCGATGAATACTGATATAAATTCTAAAGTCGTCTAGGGTTATATCTGAGTGCACTGAGTTCTATAGTCTGATCCTGATTCGAGCATCTTAACTAAGTTCTGATTA